AAAAAAAAGGAGAAATCCGAACTCCCAGATTTGAACTGGGGACCTATAGGTTACTATGATGACACCATTACAGCCTACCGCTCTGCCAACTGAGCTAAGTTCGGATGTTACAATAGAATTTAAAAATGCATTAAATGATGATTTTTTACATAGATAATCTATCTCTAATTTTTCAATATTATTAAATATTGAAAAAAAAAAATTTTTTTCTTTTTATTTAAGAAGATGTATTGAGAAATAAGAATATTACAATAAGAAAAATGAATACATTTATTGTCTATTAAAAAAATCTAAATATAATCAAGTACCACTTCCACCAGCACGACGTCCATATACTCCACGTCTTTGTTTACATCCTTCGATTATTATACCTATTGCCTATATAAAGAAGATTATTTATATTTCTTAATCAGAAAAAAAAAATCGAATAATTTACTTTATTTTTATATTGTAATATGAAATAAGTGGCAACAATGAGTAAAGTAAAAATAAGAAAATATGTTGTAAAATTGCTTGTCTTCTCATCAGAATTAACATCATCATGATCATCATTTGATTTTGATCCTTAAAATTTATGAAATATTTTTTTTTTGTGAAATTAATTTATTTCTTACTAAGTGAAATTCTCCTTCGTTTTGAAAATGTATGTGATGATTTATCATCCGAATCAATTCGATTCTTTTTTTTTAAACTCCAATTTGGTTGATTATCATCTTTTTTTCCTATAAAATAATTGTTAGTTCGATTTTATTTGAATTAATTTAAATTAATGTTAGATTTTAGTACCCTTATCCGATTTAATATAATACCTCCAACCCATTCTTTTTCACGTTCATTTAGTTGAAAACCAGTTTCACCATCAGGAGCTTGTGGTTCTAATTAATAAAAATTATTTCTTTTTTTATTTATTTATTAAAGTAATTACTTACTTCTTCGTTCCTTAACTTCTTCCTTTTCTATTAAGAAAAAATAAAATAAATTCATTGATTTAATGTCAAAATTACAAACTACCTCGTTTCACTCGAGTATCGTCTTGAAAATAAATTATAAATTATTTAAATTAAAATCAAGTCAAATTTAACTACCTTTTCTGTCTTTTACTTCATCGGATGATTTGATTTCTTTACCATCGTCTTTTACCAATTCAGCTAAAAAATCTTAATGTGATTCACACCCACACCCACTCTCAACAAACCTTCTTTGTTCTTAGTATCTTTATTCTTTTTAACATCTGCTGCATTATCGTCATCATCATAATCATCATTATCTATGAGTTGTTTTCCTAAAATAATATTTACTATTAATAATATAATAGAATTCATTTATTTATCATACTTTTTTCATTTTGTCTTTGTCTAATATCTATAAAAACAAATAAATAATTAGTTTAAGAAATAATAAGAGAATCGAAATATTTTACTTGATCTTGATTCTTTCTTTTTTGAATCGATTTCTACTGGTTCCTTATTTTCATCTGGTTTATCTGCTACCGGTTGTTCGGCATCTACTGAATCTTTTTTTATATTTTTAAGATTTGTTATTTCTGATTTATTTGCAGTTAAATTAGTGTTCGAAGCTTCAACACGTCTAATACGTGGTGCAATTTTATAAAAAAAATCTTGTTAAACGAAGTGTAGAATTCACAGAAGTTAATTTTGGACATATGTGAGCCGATGATGAACCCAATTCTTCTTTTTCTTTCTCAGTAAATTTTAACCAAATCCATCTATTCGTATACATTATTTTATTCATTGAACATATTTGTGTTGATGTATATGAATTAATATATTTAACTGGTGTTGGACGTGATTTATTAGGTAATGAACATCCAATTTCAAGTTCTATTAATATCATACGACATAAAATTCGAGATAAAGATGTTGATTCAGTTTCGGAACAATATGTTGCTAAATCATAAACTAAAGCTATATATTCTTTTTCGGAATTTTCTTTTCCGATTACAAAATCATGTAGATCACAAGAAGTTTGTTTTTCTTTTAATATATCTAATACATCAATACCACCTGTATCATCAGTGTCATTTGAATGTATACCAAAAATTAAAATAAAACTTAAAATAATGACCAAAAAATTCATGAAAAATGAATATCTAATCTAAAATACAATAAGAAAGAAAAATCGTTTTTAGGCCTATTTAAAGAAAGAGAAGCAATACAGAATATTATAATAATTTCATGATTAAACTACTGAAGCATAGCCATTCATTAGTATATATGATCCGTCAGTTAGCATTCCAAGGTTGTCATCGATAGACTATGACAAAAAAAAGTTTCTTTTATAAAAGTACAACAACAAAAAAATTGTTTATCATTTGATTTAAAACTATAACAGATTCGTGTTAGTTACATATTTAGTATTTGTAAACATACCAATATTCTTTCGATTATGACTTCAGTTTTGTTATATATAGTCTCATATATTTCAGGTTTGATTTTTATCGGTGATAGTTCAAATATATTATATATACTTTTTTTTCTCTTTCATAAACTATTGAATCACATATGTCGGATACGGTATGTTAAACTCACATGTGTTACAAGGCAATCACCTTTTTTCATGCTTTTATATCACGAACATTTTTCATTTTTATGAATATGAATTATTAAAAAAATTTATTTTATGTATATATTTATTCTTCTAGTTCCGTGCTTGATAGATTTTGAATAAGTTAACAAATAAAAATGATACATATAATAATGAAAATAGATGTCGCTAAAAACAAATGTTAATACGTTTATAAACTCAAAAAATTGATCATGATGTTTTGAAAGGTATTCTAATAATTTATGACTATTTTTATACACTGATGAAGTTTGGGAACAATAATAACAAAAATTGTATGTTTATTAAAAAAAAATAGAAGAAAAATAATAATAAAAACTTGTTTTTCGACGACGATTTCTCTTCAGTTACATAGAG